ATATTGGAAGAGCTATTAGGAAAGGTATTAGACGGTGATATCATGTGTTTACTCTTGAACACTGCAAAGAATCGAACATTTCTGCTATTGCTAATAATAACAATAATAATAACAACAATAATAATAATAATAACAATAATAATAATAATAATAAATACGATATAATTGAAGAAGGAAATTGTACAAAAATACGAAGGAGTGGTTGACACATCGTCAGTGTGACTTTGTTTATGCTGGAGTGAACATTAGTCCCCCTGCTCTTCCAAACATTTCACAATAATTCAGGGGTTGAGGCAGTGGTATTTAATAACATATATGTTATAAATAATAATAGTACATGTTATTATTAATAACATGTATTATTATTAACATGTATTTTATAAATACCATTGCCTCAATCACTGCCTCTACCACTCCAATCACACTCAATCTACAAGCACCAAACACAATGAATTATTGTGAAATGTTTGGAAGAGCAGGGAGACTAATGTTCACTCCAGCATAAACAAAGTCACACTGACGATGTGTCAACCACTCCCTCGTATTTTTGTACAATTTCCTTCTTCAATTATATCATATTTATTATCATTATTATTATTATTATTATTATTACTACTACTACTACTATTGTTATTATTAGCTGTAGCAGAAATGTTTAATTCTTTGCAGTGTTAAAGAGTAAACGCATGATGTCACCGTCTAATACCTGTTCGAATAGCCATTCCAATATACAGTCATGAATGGGTTTACATTATTTATACTGTAGTTTAATAGCAAATAGTGAATAAACAAAACACTCGCCACACTGAGTGGTGGGAGGGCTGGCTGCCAGTTGCGGGGGTCGGAGGGAGGGTAGTAGGGACTCGCAGGTGGCGGGAAACTTAAATATGATTTGGCGGCTGGGAATTTGGCGGCTGGCTGGGAATTTGGTGGTTGGGAATTCGCGAATGTGTGAAGCCCGTGAAAGTTGAAAACGTGAATGTTGAGGGAGACCTGTATTAGCATTTAGTCTAGGGTGATTAAGTGGCTTTTGAGAAGAGTCCTAAATTGATTTTCAGACCGGGCTACTTTAATATCTTCTGGTAATGAATTCCATATTTTGGGGCCCTTTATGTGCATAGAGTTTTTACAGTGTGATTTGGACACGAAGTATATCAAAAAGAGATCAGTGTCTTGTGTTGTGGTAATGTGTCCTGTTTAGGTTGGCAAGAAGTTTGAGTGGAGGGTTTATATTTGCATGTATTGTTCTGTGTATGTAGTAGGCACATGAATAAGTATGGATGTTCTTAATATTGAGCAGATTCAGACTTTTGAAAATTGGTGGAGTATGCTGGCAGGAGTGGGAATTTGTTATTCTTACTGCTGCCTTTTGCTGGGTTATTAGGGGTTTTAGGTGACTGGATGTTGATCCCCATGCACAAATTCCATATGCAAGATAAGAGTATACGAGTGAATGGTACAGTGCCAGGAGAGTCGATTGTGGAACGTAGTACCTTATCTTTGATAGTATGCCTACAGTCTTGGAGATTTTCTTGGTAATCTGTTGTATCTGTGTCTGGAACTTAAGGCTACCGTCAAGGTGGAAACCTAGGAATTTTCCCTCTGAGTCTTGTGACTGATGATCCGGTTAGCGTTATGTTAATTGGATCATTTGCAGCTTTGTTTCCAAACTGAATGAAATAGGTTTTATCAGTATTCAGGGTAAGTTTGTTAGTCATCATCCAGGCAGATATTTTCTGCAATTCGGTATTGACTGTTTGCTATTATGACTGTGTTTGGGTGGGAAAAGACATATGTAGGTGTCATCTGCAAATAATATGGGTTTGAGTAGTTGTGATGCATTCGGTAGATCATTGATGTAGATGAGAAAGAGTAGTCCAAGGACACTTCCTTGTGGGACTCCTACTGTGATTGGTTGGGTGGAAGAGTTTGCATCATTTGCATACACAGAGTTCTGTTACTAAGATATGATTTTAGGTAGTTGAGGGAGTGGCCTCTGATACCATAGTGCGTTAATTTGGAGTACAGCAGTTCATGGTCGACTGTATCGAAAGCTTCACGTATATCAATGAAAATGCTCAGCGGGACTTCTTTCTTTTCGAGTGCGGTATATATTAGTTCTAGCATGTGTATGATAGCCTCATAGTACATGACAATAAGACAAATTAATCCCTCTGCATTTGCACCTACACTCTGCCTTTCTTTTGGGTTATCCTAGATAATTTATACTACGTATGATAATTGTACTTATGTGTATCTGTACCTAAAAAAAAATTACTTTCCTACATACACTTGCCCTGTACTCAGTTGAGTGCAGGCCAGAGAACAATACATGATAATCTACACCTGGAAAACTCTATAGAGGGGCTGGTACCAAATCTGCACACACAAATCACTCCTTATGAAAGAAAAAGACAGGGCAGACAGTGCAATAAACCCCCAATGAAAAGTAGGGGTGCCATTAGTACACTTAAGAAAAAAAAAATGTCCAGCACCCAAGACTCTTCAACAGCTTCCCTCAAGGCATAAGGAAAATGACCAATAGACCCCTGGCTCCCTTCAAGGAGGAGCTGGACAGATACCGCAAGTTTGTACCCGACCAGCCAGGCTGTGGTTCAAATGATGGACTACTTGCTCCTAGCAGTAACAGCCTGGTTGATCAGGCCCTGATCCACCATGAGGCCTGGTAAAGAACTTGGCTATGGGGGCGTTGACCCCCAGAACACTTTCTAGGTATATACACTCTGCACATGGACCTACACACACTACACCTAGCCCCCCCCACACACACACTACACATGGACCTACACACACTACACATGAACCTACACACACACACACACACTACATTCGACCTACACACACACACACTACATTCGACCTACACACCCACACACTACATTCGACCTACACACACACACACTACATTCGACCTACACACACACAACACACACACTACATTCGACCTACACACACACACACACACTACATTCGACCTACACACACACACACACACACACTACATTCGACCTACACACACTACATTCGACCTACACACACACACTACATTCGACCTACACACACACACTACATTCGACCTACACACACACACTACATTCGACCTACACACACACACACACACATATTCGACTACACACACACACACTACATTCGACCTACACACACACACACATTCGACCTACACACACACACACACACTACATTCGACCTACACACACTACATTCGACCTACACACACTACATTCGACCTACCACACACACACACACACACACTACATTCGACCTACACACACACACTACATTCGACCTACACACACACTACATTCGACCTACACACACACTACATTCGACCTACACACACACTACATTCAACCTACACACACACAACACTAATCGACCTACACACACACACACACACACTACATTTGACCTACACACACACACACTACTTCGACCCACACACACACACACACACTACATTCGACCTTTCACACACACACACACACTACATTCGACCTACACAAAACACACACAACTACATTCGACCTACACACACCACACACACACATACATTCGACCTACACACACACACTACATTCGACCTACACACACTACATTCGACCTACACACACACTACATTCGACCCACACCACACACTACATTCGACCCACCACAAAACATACATTCGACCTACAGACACACTACATTCGGGCCCACACTACTTTCGACCTACACACAACACTACATTCGACCCCCAGAAACACCTACATTGACCTCAGACCACT